GTAGGCGGGCTGGTGTCTAATGTACTCTGTGAACATATTTATAAAGGATTAACCTGTGCCTGGTGTTCCTAAAAACTGATTTAGTTAAAATACATATTTTATTCTACTTGTCTCAACCATACAAATCATTCCTGTTTAGCTTTGATATTAGTCATTTTTGCTGTAGTGTAACACACTGCACATTATCAGTAGTCCTGCCATGTATGACAGGCTTTTTTTTCCCAGCCAATACTTCTTAGTTCATTGTATCGTCTGCGTCTGAGAATTTTAACCTGCAGTGAAAGTGTTCACGAATAGAATGTGTACTGCTTAGCAAATGCTGGAACACTGAGGGTTTGAAAAGGGTGTTCTTGCTTTCAAATTGTTTAGAAGCAAACTGGGTGTAGAAGGTCAGGAATCACAGGTGCTGTGAAGGACCTGGATGCACTTTGTACCTGGAATGCTGTGTGTGAGCTCGCACACGCTGACCTGGCACCTGCCACCTGCCACACTAGGAAGGATCCAGTAAAGTGAAGCTCCTAGACTGCAAACAACTGCAGCCCACCCCTCCCACCTGCTCCAAGTTAAGTATGTATGTTTTAAAATATTTACTTTGATACAGACAATATTTAGATATTCATTTTGTGTAGGAGAAGGATTAAAAGGAAATACAAATTAATAGCTTGACAACAGGGAATTCTGACCCTCATCTGCAATATGTGACGATAGCTCCAAAATGTTAAGGGCAATTTGAGAAGCTGCCAACTAGGAACTTGGGATAAAACTAAGAAGGGCAGACTTCTGATGAAGGATTAGAGGTAATTTATTAAAGTAATCAACCACAGGGAAAATGACCAGAGTAAACACTGGAAAACTTGTTACTTCAGATGTTTGATAGTCAGAATTAAGATTTCTTCTCACCTTGATCTTCAACCTGAAATTCAGGGCTTGGTTTGGTTTTGGTGTTTTGTATTGGTTTGGATTTTTTTAGTTTGTATCAGCCTGTACTGGGATAGTAACTGTGTGAAAAAGGTTATAGAGTTTTCAGTATCTTCTGATGGAAAGGAATAGTGGTAGTTGATTAAATTTTTGCTGCTTATCTGATTGCCACTGAATTCAAGGAGTTCAGCCCACTCTAAATTCTGTTCTTGATACCATGTAGATACATTTGTGTGTCAGATATTATTTGTTGTACCATTAATCCATCTTATCCGGATATAAGAAAACACAAAAATCAGTGGGTGTAGTGGGGGGAGGAAGATTCTTCTCAGCAGCCCATCAGGCAGTTTTTCTAGTTCATTTTCTTCCCCATTGTTTGAAAGGAGCCTGCAAATGTTTCTTTTTCTTGCCAAGACAGTGTGATACTTTTGCCCTGGCACACATTATTGTTTTTTTTTCCTCTTCTTGTGTTTTGAGTGCAGCTGAACAACAAATTCCTCTCTGTTTAACAAGCAACTTCCTCATATTAAAAGTTTTTTTCCAAACTGAAGTATCTTTTTTTGATTTCAGCACAGCTCTGCATTTGTATTTGTTAATTAAATACTGACAAGTGAATAACAGCAAGTGCAGCAATATTGTGTGCCTGTGGGCTTTCAGATCAGCCCCTCTGGAACCTGTCTGTGTGTCTCAAGGAGCCACAGCAGCAGCTGTGCTTTGAGAGGCAGCAAGACAGCGAGTCGGTATTCAGGAAACAGTAGTGGCTCCCTCAAAAGAAATCTAATCTCTTTTCTGCTATTCCCTGTGCATAAGATTTAACAGTGCTCTCAGAAATTTTCATGAAAGTTACAGCCATTTCACTCTTCCCTGAAACATAGATAATTTTAAGTTTTACAGCAGCAAAATAATTTGCTGCCTGTTTTCTCACCAATGCAAGAGACTTCCTTTAAGTGGAAGTTGGCTCATCGGAGGCCATAGGAGGACAGGGATAGATGGATGGATGGATGTGTGTGTACGTGCATCTGGAGTTCTTTTGTTCTCTCCCTGTTAGCTTTGACTGTTAAAACAGCCATTTCAGTAATTTCTTGGCTGGCTTTGCAGGGAAAAAAATCTTGGTCTTTGCTGCTCCTGGAAGAGAGGTTGTCATAATGTTGCTCCCCCACTTGACTGACAGACACCTTTGCGAACACACAGCATGTTTCATCTCAAAGCACTCGATGAATATCCTTAACCCCCCCCTCTGGACCAGCCCACCTCTACTTGCAATGCTCCTTGTCTTTTCTCACAGGATTGCAATCCCTGCCTTTTGTTCCTCCTTCTCAGGAGTTAATACCTCCCCACCTTACAAGTCAGCAGCAGATTCTGTCAGTTTAAAACCCCAAATAACAAACACTCCTACCCTGAAGGCCTTTTCCTTTCAAGCATGTATTTTTCTAGCCTGCAAGGCAGTCAGTGCCATAACCCTGAGTTTTCAGGGAATAGTTTCTAAGCCTGTATCTGTCTATCATGAATATCTTCCAAAGAGGGAATGAACATCCCCTCTTCTGGCAGCTCCTACATTTTGTGGCTTCCTGCCCCCCTTTCCTGCCACCCTCCACTCCTTATAAGCCCCGGCACTTCATCCTGTCTATATGTAATGTCTCCTTTCAAATCCTTATTTACTGCTGCTGTCACCTCAGCCTGCTCCAGCCCTTGCCTGTCAATGCAGTCAGACAGCCCAGAACCCAAACATTTTTGCCTCTGTTAAGGCATCCCACTGTTGGTCGTTTGCAGATTTCCAGAAAGCTGGATGACCCTTGACACAAGTTTCCAATGTTTCTCTTCCATCCACACTCTATTTCCCTATCTGTTGGATTTTTCTTTGAATTTCTGTGGTCTGAAAAACAAAGCATCAACTTGTTTTTTTTTTTACTTTTACCCCATTTAACGTTGCTGGCATCACATTCCCACCTTTCTCGCTGAGGTATGGTTTTTTATTTTTTTGGGGGGGGAGTATTTGGTATTTCTTCTTGCTTCCTAACAAGCTGCTGTTAAGAAATGCTAGACATATCTGCCTTGGGGATAGTTGACTGTCTCTAAACCAGAGACAGGAGACTGCTGGCTCAGGGGCAAGAGGCGACTCCTTCACAGAAACATGAAACACTAGGTGACATATAGGGTGAGTTTACAAAGGGAAGCATTAACAGAATTCATGTTCATTTCAGAGACACAGAAAAAAATCCCAAAGATAAACTGAAGATCTGAGATTATTAGTTGATCTGACTTAATCTCTGTCATTTAATCACTTGTGTTTGCTGTTTATGACACATTTGCTGAGCCCAAGATGCTTAAACTGTGCACGTATTCAGATCTTTTCCCTTTACCTCCTCACCCTGCCCCACCTTACTTTGAAATGGCAACTGCTTAGAAATCAAAGGGGTTTTTTCTGATGTCTCAGATGGTGGCTTGTCAGGTAGGTATATGAGACGGAGGGGTTTAAAAACAGGGAGGATAGAAGTATCATGATGACTGAGGCCTTCTCGTGCTTTGCAGTGCGCATAATAGAGTAGTATAGAGAGGATGTTCTTCCCTGAAGGAAGCCCATGGCTCCTGCTACAGACAACAATTACTGTGGGGTTTTAGACAAGACAGTGATTCAAGTTTTGTTTTCAGTCTGGTTTTTCATCTCCCCAAACCCAAGGGACTGATGGCCAGGCAAAGCTGACCACTGGTCATGCCCGTGCACTCTCTGGTGCTCATGGCAGACCTCTCTTTTACCTGTTCCGCAGTCCACCCCCATACATGCTCTGTTCCAGCAGGGTGGCTGTTTTGGAGCCCAGCTGCATAACACTGCATCACAGCAATGATTTTACTCCCTGGTGACTCACTGCATTTTGCACCTGATGGTAAAAGATAACCTGTCACCTTAAATCCTACTAGTTCTGCAAGACAGCTTTTATGTAATCAGTGGGTACTTTTACCCTCTTTTGTCCAAACATGAGTATAAGGTCCAGCTTGACTCCCCCGTGCATTTTTTTAAAGAAAGCAGCTGTGTTGTCCTTCAGGAAAACAGCTTGTAATTTAGCATTATATCCCCTAGGCAACGCTTTCTGTCTTCAGGACATATATTTATCACAGACATCACAGTATCTCTATGGTGGTTTAGTTTTCCATCAAGGGAAGCTAAAAGAGCATTTAATTCTGTAAAGCTATGATTGATCTTCACTACAATATACCTCTGGTGCTCTTCTCAATGTCTCTTCTGATGAACAAGATTTCTTCTTCCATTTTTGATCTCTCAGAAGTCTGTACTGATCTCAGAAGCGTAGGCTTGTTTTGCCTTCTAGTGCTACCTGTCTTTGTGCTTGGAAGAGCTTTCCTGTTCTTTGGTCAGCTCTCCAGTCCTCGTTCACTCCATCAGTCAGTGGCTCTTTGCCTTACTCAGGCGGCTCCCGTGGAGAGTTGAATGTATGTCAGCAAGTAAATAATCTGCCAGCATTGGATGGCTTTCACTTCTTGTTTTCAGTTTCATCTTTGGTATTACAAAACAGTTGTGGAGACTAGGTAGATGGACACATCTTAAGATGCATTCAGTTAAGATGAACAGAAAAATGATGGCCCCACTACTTGCTCTGAAACTTTTCCATGTTCTTAATGCAAGCTGCTTTGTTAATTGCTACTTCTTCTGATGACCATTTCACCCTTGAGCTCAGAGCAGTACAGTTCTATTGTTACAAACTCTGATCCCAAAAGACACAAGAAACCAAGCTTGGTCTTCTTAGTAGCAGATACTATGTACTATAGCACTTGTCAAATCTTTTTGATCAATTCACACAGCTCGAGACAAAAGCAAGCAAGGAAGAAGTGGGAATGCAAATTTTAGAGAAATCTTTCAAAGGCTGCAGTAATTGGCAAGGTAAATGCAAGGCTCTTTCTGCTTTTGATAACACTGGTAATATCAGCTTATGATGAAAAGCTATTCTGAGTTACACAAGAAGGTAAGATATTTGCCAAAAAATTCTTTAGTTTGAATTCTATTTTTTTATGATGGACATGAAGTGCCATCCATACTGAATGACTGTTGGCATGCAACTTACCACTGAGCAACTGTATGTTGATGGATAAGCCAGTCTCATCCAAGTGTCAGGAAGATTATCAAAAAAAGAGCTGTCTGTAGTTGCTCCATCTCTGAGGAGATTGCCAACTCACCCTAACAAAAGAAAACATTAGTGTGCTATTTGCGTCTCACAAAGAGACTGTGATAAGATGACATGATAAATGATAGAGGGCTTTTTTTTTCCCCAGTAAAAACACATAAGGTAGCTAAATCATCAAGTGTAAAGAATATTTTGGCTCTTGCAACTGGGGTGAGTAATTTATTTTTTAAAAAGGGGAAACAGTCAGAAAAACAAGAGTGTAGGTTCTGGGTTTTCTGTATTTCTTAGAATCACTCTAATTGCATTAAGTAATTATATGATACAGTAATTCATATACATACGCATGGAAGCACCCACCTACGCATATGTACAGGGAGAAAATGATAAAGGGCCAAATTACTAACTTGCTTTCAGATATCCCACAGAAAATTGTACATGCAATCAAGCTACTATTCTGCTGGCTTGCTTACGCTAATGGCTATTTGAATGCCCGTGTTTTGTTACTATGAATTAAAGATCGAAAGAAAGGTAATTTTTCAGGTGGTGAAAAAGGAGGTTCCTTAAAAATACTAGCCCTATGTATTAGATTTTCAGTACCTAGTTTTGGAGTGGTATACATTAACTACAGCTCTGCATGCATATACCACAATTGTCTGCGTAAAATGTTAGCAAGCTACTTGGTTGCCCAATTCCATGATTGAACATACATTAAATGTTAGTGCAGCAGGTACATCACTGTTTGAGATTTGTAGATATTATGAAAATTTGGCTGTCTATGGTTAAGAACATTACATGTTGCTACTCAACACTTCGTTGATGTTGAAAGACGTTATTACCAAAAACTGCCAAAGATATGTGATCAGTTCCCCATGTCCCTCTGACCTTGTTCATCGCTCTCAATAGGTGCCACTGAGATGGGCAGGACTTGGGTGTTACTGATACTGCACCTTTACCTGCAGTTAATGGCCATCTCCATATGACAACCAAATGTCACATTCTGATGACATTTAACACAATGTGAACTGTGTGCCTTATCCAGCGGGGATCTATATGAAGCAGAGTTCATTTTCAGCACCAGAGGGTCTCTGAGGCATCAAACAGCTCCCTCCTCTCCTGTGGATTGCCCAAAACACATGTGAACACACAGTAACTAGCAACCAGATCTCTTTGCAGTTGTAAACAGAAGAGCCAAATATCTGCAATGGCAGAGGAGAAGAATATCTCAACCTTACCTCCATGTCTGCACTGGAACAGGATCAGACCATAATCAGAGGCTTTGCATTTTGCTTCCTAGTGCACAGAGAAATAGAGGATTTCAGTCTCCTGAGCAGTTTCATGATAATTTTTTTTACACAAATTAAAACAAATTATTTGATATATGGAGATGAGTTACATGTTTGGAGTAGGCAGTTTATGAAAGCACAATTTTTTAATCAATGAAATCAGAAATAAGCTTACCAAGTATCATTCACAGTGCCTGTTACTGGCATCTACACTCATGCTGTTTAAACCCATGCATCCCCTGAGATTAGTAAAGCAAAGCACACATATCTTCAAACTTAAATTAAGTTCTTGAAGAGAATACCTTACCTCATATATGAGCAGATCCAATCTCATATTCTGGAAAACAAATCAGTTTATGTGAGTAGCATTCTTCTGGTGTTTGGATAAAATAGTTGATCTCACTTTCTTCTGAATGATTTTTTTTTCTCCATGTCATTTAGCTCTGCCTTCATCCTCAAGAGATACTACATTGCATGAGGTAAGTGTCTTGTGTATCCACTTCTGCATAAATGTAAAGGAAATTATAAATGTTATGTGTGAAAGGATACTGCCTTTATGCCACAGAATGAAGGATATGGAGTATTTATCCTGTGAAATAGAGAAGGAGTGGAAGACTTGTGCAGGACCATGCTGTTAGGAAGAAAAGCAAATTCTACCTTATAGTTTGGAAATAATGGCATTTTGCAACCTAACAAAGGATCCCAAATGGCCTAACACTATTAATATATTGTAACAGTCCAGCAAGATTTTTTTTCTTTGTGGTGCAAAATAATGCACATATTTATGGCTTACATATACTAGAGATTCCTCATCGCAAATTTCAGATTGAATCCCTGTAAAAAACAGGTATGAAAATATCTAATTCTATTGAATTAGGGAGAAAAAAGGCCATAGGAGAGAAAAAAAAGCCCCTAAACATAAAACCACTGTCATCACACCATCTTGTGAAAAATTTGCAGCCTGCTCTATGTTTTGACTGACCTTGTCTTCCACAGCTTGGGAGACTCCTTTCCCAGTGACTGAGTATTTGAATTGCAGCTCTAATAGCATATGGATGGAGCGTGTTGTTTGCAGTTATTACAAAAGCAATCTCCACATTGGGGTGCAGGCCATAACAGATGGGGCTTTGGGGAGGTAGCATTGTATCCATATTTTTATAGTAGCCTTCATAATCCAAGTTTGAAGAGACTGAAAACCCAGAAGCAAGCACTGACTTACTATCAAGCTGTCAAAGAAATAATAAAAACCTTGTCAGTAAGACACTGGTGACAATCCTCACTAGACAGAATAAGGATCTGCTTAGGCATAAATGAAATTGTTCTATTATGGAGTCACTGTTGAGAACAAGACTTTTATATCACTTTTATATTCCTGGAAATTAATCTAATTTGTTCCCCATTTTAATTAGCCTCTTTATGTCACACCCAAGTTCCAATGCTTGCAAGAAAAAGAAAAAGGAATTTTCTAATAATCAGATTATCCTTCTAAAAGAAAACAGCAAAAAGATAATTTTAATTTAAAAAATAAAGAGACAAATATTTTAAAAGAAAAATATTATTTCTTCTAAATTATGAAGTGCTGCTCTCTGGTGTAACATTATTATTCTGTGTAGCAACTTATTAAATGAAGCAATTTATGGTAGCATCTCTGAAAAATGCCATCCTTTATTGAAATGAAAGCAGGTAATAGCATAATGACTGTAAAATAAAAAGGCAGAATATCTTCTTTTAGACCATTACAAAAATATATGTATTGTCTATTTGAAAATCAATACAGTACCATAAAATAAAATGGAGCTGTGGTATCATCATCATAATTTCTATTTCAAATAGTTTGCTGAGAACCAAACTGTGTCTTTTATGGAAAAAGAATGACAAATGCTTTAATTCAATATCACACGCATTTGTGAGCTGAAATTCTGCTGCAACTCAGAGCTGTTAGGCAAATATTTTAGTATCACCACAAGTTTAAAACAACAGACATGTGGGAGTACATCCATTTATTTACACTTGTACTGACTTAAAATTCAAAATGCTATTTGATGCTTTTAAAGTACTGCTGTGGGATGTTAAATTACTGCTGAATTCTTACTATTCTGAGATACCTTTCAACCTGCCAAGATGCATGATGGTGATGATGATGATGATAATAATAATAATAATAATAATAATAACAGCAGTAGCGTGGGGATCTTTAAAATAATGTGGGGCTTATTCCTGTAAGATAAATACCATTTTCACTAACCCCCGTTTTATGATTCAGCATTTCTGATGCAACAAAGTGAAATAATGAAAGTAAAACAACAACAGGTTTGTGTGGGATGGGAAAGGGAAAACGAGCACGTGCATTGTCAGAATTTCTGCAGAAATTGTAAGGGGAAAAAAAGCTCATGTAAGTGGCGCTTCCCTCTCCCTTCCCAACCCTCCCCCCCCCCCCGGGGAAAATTCCTCCTCTTGTTTTTAGTGTTCGCTACATTTCCTTCTTTTATTCCTTTTTCAGATCTCGTCCTTTTGTTCCCCACGTCTCCACGGATGCTTCTCCTTCCTCCTCGCAGCGGGAGGCTCCTGACGGCCGGGGACAGAGAGCTGCGGCCGGATGGTGCGAGGCTTGCAGGTGAGCTGGGGGCACCGGCGGCTTGGGAAGAGGGATGGGAGCGCAAGACTTGCTGCCTTGTGTGCACAGGGCCTGTTGCACGCTCGCCTCCCTCTTCGGCGTGCCTCTATCCCAGGGACAGGGTGTGTATGCGGCGCTGGGAGCTTCCTACACCCGCCTTGCTCGGGACTACGGGGGAGGAGAAGGAGGTGAGATGGCAAATGTGTTAAGTGAGGACAGGGGCTGCGAGCCATCCATCTCAGCCACGCTTGGCGTGCATGGGCTGGGAAGGGGCTTTCCTGCTACGTGCTACCATCACCATCTGTCAAACCCCGAGTTCAGTGAGGGTCCCTCCGTCCGCCAGGCATGGCCACCGCCACAGGCGGCGATAATCACCAAATGCCCCACAGAGGTGGAAGGGAGAGGACTTTTCTGCCTCCCTCTTACCGAAATAGTTTTGTCGCCCACGGCCCCTCGGTCATTATCGCCACTCGGCCCCAGCCCTGCGGGCACAGCACTGCAAAGGATCTTTGCATTGCTAAGGGACCAGAGATCACCGCTACAGGGAGCCAGGGGCTGGTTTATTAAACGGCCAAGTCTATTTAAAATGTAATTCCTCAGGAAGAGCCGTGTGCTTGTGGCCATTTAAATGAGTAGCAGAGCGTGCCCGTTCATGCCCATGTTTGCTTTCCCCAGGCACAAGCCCCGGCTCGGCAGGCGAACCCCGGGATTGCGGTCGGCCGGGTCGCCCCAGCCCCGCAGGGCTGTGACCTGTGCGGGGTTTCCTCCTGCCCATGTCACATCCCTGTCCCCCCGGTGGGAACTCCGGGAGAAAGTGCAGGTTGCACCCCCGTTTTGCTGACTCCGATCCAGCCGCGCCGGCTGGAAATGAGCGTGCTCACACAGGCAGGGAGGCTCCGGGCCGTGTTACAGGCTCTCCCCGCCGGCACCTGGGTGTTGGCAGCGGGGTGCTGGGGGCGCGGCCCTGCCTGGGGAATCCCCTACGCCCCCAGTCCAGCGTTAACGCGAGCGTCTGCCAGAGGTAAACCTCCCCCGGAGGTCGGGACTGCCGTCACAGCCCCGCAGCGCTGTCCGGGGCCGGGCCCGAGGGTACACGCTCTCCCCGGGCTCCCTCCCCCGGGGCCGGGGACAGCCGCTCCCCGCCCCCGCCGCCTCACGGCACCGCTGGGGCGGCCGCCGGCAGGGGGCGCTCTGGCTCCGGGAACGCGCCGCCACCGCTCCGGACGAGTCCCGGCCCGCTGCGCCTCGGGAAGGGCACGGGCATGGTCATGGGCACGGACACGGACACGGACATGGGCACGGGCACGGGCACGGACATGGGCACGGGCACGGGCACGGGCACGGACATGGGCATGGGCATGGGCACGGACATGGGCATGGGCACGGGTGGCTGCCCGGGGCGCCCCGCAGGTACCGCGGGGGAGCCAGGAGGTGATGACCTCTCGGGCAGAGCTGCCGGCCGGGGGGAACTGCCTGGCACCCCGAGCGCACCTGTGCGGGCGCGGGGAAGGCGGCGCCCCGCCGGGGGCCGTGGCGGGGCCGGCGGAGCCCCAGCCGCCGGCAGAAGTTGGCAACAAATGTGTGGTGGCCGGGGCTGCAGCCGCGGCTTTCTTTGTGCGTGTGTCTGTTTTGGGTGACATTCCCTCCGCTGCGCGGGTGGCTGGCGGTTCTTCCCATGTTTATTGCTGGAAGAGGTTATTCTAAACAAGAGGAAAAGAAGAAAAGCCTTTGTAATTCTGAGAGAGTTTTTTTAGAATATACTGTCGAAAAGCAATTTTTTTTTTTGAATTGGAGAGTTTCTTAGCGTTCTTTAGTACACATATGTATGCCAAAGAGATACTTGATTTCTTTGACCATATCTTTGATCATAGCTTATGATTACTTCCTATATACACCTGTGTTTGTATTTTTTAAGAGTCAGTAACAAAAATTGCTTTAATTAAAAGCCTTCTAAAACAAAGATTAAAAAGGAGGGAGGAAAATATCGTAACCTAGCAGTTAAACCATGCTCTCCTCTCATGTGCTATCCAAACATTTTGGACCAAACCCTTAGCAATATAATTTGGTGTAGTGAACCTCACTCATTTACCTCAGCTGAAGACCTAATTCCTGTGCACTACATGCTCAGAATATGTAAAAAATATTGCAGAGACACAAAACTGCATGGTTTCGCATTTCAAGATAAATCAAACTAAGCTAGACGAAACCAAAATAAATTCTTATTCTGTACTACAGTAATTAACTGTAGTGACTGCAAATTTTTCATTCCCGTGTGCACAGGCATGTACTTAACTAGAAACTGTATGTGATGCTTTAAAATGAAAAGGAGTAGTTTCTTGGTTTTGTTTTTTTTTTTTTTCTTTTTCTTTTTGCTGATAGATGTGCAGTCACTCTAGGAAATGTGAACAAATCTTTAAGAAATTAAGTGCATCCTGCTTTATTATTGCATAACCTGTAAAGGCTTTTAGTGACTTCACCGTTTCAAGTGGCTTTAATAGGAGAAGTTCAATGCTCACATTTTTGAAGTTGTATTTCTATGGTGTTTTGCTTGACTAGTCAAATTTATCCAGTGCAGCATGGTGATTAGGCATTATTACAAGTTGTAGTTTATCAGTTTTTTTAATGGGAGGTTTCCCAAATCCACCCTGGAATGAGATATGCTTTAGGGGAAGCGGCAGGTTCCTCACACTCAAAACCGATCACCCTGCTGACTTCCTTCCCTGGTTTTCTTCAGCAATTTCTCTAATGTGTTCAGCCACTTTGCTACAAAATAAATATTCAGAGATGGAGGGGGGGAGAATGGAGGGAAAAAATAGGCCTCCCAGTGAGCTATTGATTTGAAATTTGAAACATTTTATTGATACAAGAAAAACCCAGACATAAGGAAGCAGTTTCATATTGCACAATATTTGAAAAAAATCGTGTGCATCTGTTTAGCACAATACACTGCATAATGACAGCAATCTTCCCTGTTTGTATCTATTCATCTGATTATACAGTGTAACAATTCTTTTTGCTACACATTTATTTACTAAAGGATTTTTTTTAATGGATAATAAATTAGTAAATCAGATACCATGTGCTTGGGAAAATATGTTAGTTGACTCCCTACACGCAATTCATATTTTATGTGATATTCAGTGATACTTCCATATACAGATGAAGTTATGTGCTTCCCTTGTGGCAAAGACAAAGGAAGTTTTAAATCACTATTAAGTAATCTTTTATCTAGGCACGTTATTTTGAAAAGCTTCAGTTTTTAACACTGCAGTGCAGCACTGATGTAATGAAGAGCTTTGACTTACTTGAAGTATAACCCAGTGGCCTTCTTTTGATGCCTTTTCCATAGCTATTTCTGCTGCAGCTTCCTGTCCTTGACCCAGCGATACATTGTGAAGTTCTCCGGAGTCAATGGTAAATTCAAACTTGTTCCCTAAACAGAACAATATACTGTACTACTTTGAGCCAAATAATGAAGTGTTCAAGTGAGCATGTGTTCTACACGCAGTGTTTAAATGGCACCACATTACACAAGTCACCAAAGGGAAAAAAACAGCCCTCAAAAATATAGTTTCAATAAATCAGCTGAGCTAGGATGTTGTACTGCTCTATGGCCAGGAATTTTGTATTAGCAAAATGCCCCTGTGTCTGAAAAGCAATGAAGAAGTGAAACAACTGATTCCTGCTAATGGATTCCCTACATATCGTCTATAAAAATACTTCAATGTACACCAAAGTAGATAGTTAGAAATTTCTCTAAAGAAACAAAATAAATTAATGTCTCATTAAAGGTGACATTACCCAGGGGCATTGAAAGGGGCTAAGCAGAAGTCCTTACACTGGCATTAGGAGGTAGTTTGGTCAGAGGAGGGTTAGCA